AGCTCAGTGCAGTAAGAGGTTTGGTGGAGACAGTGCAGTCTGAGGACAGGATCACCCTGTCAGTTTGAGCATTGGTAGAGGTGAGAACTCTCTATTGGATGGCTGCTTTGCTTTTCTGATCTTCAGCTTTAACCCTGGGTTAATCTGTCTCTGGGTTTTTATTATTAATACCAACTAGAATTCGTGCTACATGGGCCTTTTAGTTTGTAATGTGTTTTATTTTGAGATGCTGATATTAATATGAGATCATCGTGCGTGAACAAGAAAAGTTAGACTTGAATAGTGATGTGATTTGTGTGTTGGGTTGGTGAGGGGTAAGTTGTACTAGATGGTTTTGTTTTGTTCTTGTTTTTTGTTTGCTTGTTTACCTTTCTATCAACTTATAACAAGCTAGAGTCATCTGAGAAGAGGGAACCACAATTGAGAAAATGCCTCCATAAGATTGGCCTTTAGTGATTATTTGTGATGACCTAGCCCATTGTGGGTGGTGCCACACCTAGGCTGGTGGTCCTAGGTTGTATAAAGAAGCAGGCTGGCAAGCTTGTAAGCATTATTCATTCATGGCCTCTGTTTCAGTTCTTGAGTTCTGCCCTTTGTCATGGACTGTAAACTGAAATAAAGCCTCTCCTCCTCAGATTGCTTTTGATGAGGGTATTTTATTGCAGCAGTGGAAACCCTTACTAAGGTAGTTCCACCCGACCTCTAATGATTGGTTTTGTACTAGGCTTTGTAATTGTGAAACATTAGTCCTTCAGATTTTCTTAAATTCTCAAAATGATTTTAGTTCCTGTGAATTTTTTTGTTTGAATTTTAGGATGTTTGTCAATTGCTGAGAAGCCAGTTGGATTTTGATTGGGATCACACTGAGTCCTGTAGATCAGCCCAGGAGTGTTGCTGTCTGAACAGAATAGTCTTCTTATCCGTGAAAATGAAATCTAGCATTGCTCTGGTGGCTCATACTTTTAATCCCAGCACTTGGGAGGCAGAGGCAGATGGATCTCTGTGAGTTCGAAGCTAGCCTGGTCTACAGAGCAAGTTCCAGGACAGGCTTCAAAACTACAGAGAAACTCTGTCTCGAAAAATACCAAAAGGGGGGGTTGGGAGGGAAGGAGAAAGGATGGAAGGGAGAAAGAAAATGAAATCTAACAGGGCCCCTCCTGTCCATTTATTTATGAGTGTGTGTAACAGATGTATGAGTGGTGAATGCAACCATTGTGTGGGTGTAGGAGAGGATGATCTTTGGATGTTTATGTTCTCACTTAAGACGAGGTCTCTGTGGCAGTATCAACCAGGTTGTACTGGCCTGTTCTGTGCTGTATGCTCCTTGAGGGTCTCCTGTCCAATCTCTCGCTTCCTGTAGATGTGCTAGGACTACAGGCACTTATACTACTGCCTCCAGCTTTTATTACATTGGCTCTGGGGATCTAAACTCAGGTCAGTATGCAGCAAGCAGTTTTACCCACTGTCTCCCCAGTCCTTACTTAGTTCTTTTGATTTATTATTTGTTTTAGTGGTACAGGGGATCAACCTTGGCCAGGAATGATGGCACACACATGTAAGTAATCTCAGCATTCAGGAGGCAGAGCAGGAAGATCACAAATTCAAGAACATTTTAGACCACAGCATGAGTTCTGGTTGGACCTGGCTATATAACATAACTGTCTCAAAAAAAGAAAAGAAGAGAAAAGGAGGGGTTTTAGCAATGGCTCAGCAGAAGAGCACTAACTGTTCTTCTAGAGGACCCAGGTTCAATTCCTAGCACCTACATGATGGCTAACAACCATTTGTAACTCCAGTTCAAGGGACCCAGTGCTCTCTTTCTGGCATCTGCCTGAATCGGGCACACGCATGGTGCATAGATACAGATGTAGGAAAACCACCCATATACATAAAATAAGATGTTTTTTAAAGGAACCCAGGACTTTGAGCATGCTAGACAAGCTCTGTACCACTGATGTAAATCTAGCCCTGAATAGCCTATTTGTTTTATAATTACAGAGTGGCATTCAAGTAATAGACTATTTCATGTAAATTGTATTGTAATTGAAGATTCAAGAATAACTGTCTCCCAGGGCAGTGGTGGTGTGCACCTTTAATCCCAGCAATTGGGAGGCAGAGGCAGGTGGATTTCTGTGAGTTTGAGACCAGCCTGGTCTACAAGAGTTAGTTCCAGCACAGCCTCCAAAGCCACAGAGAAACCCGGTCTCGAACCCCCTCCCCCCCAAAAAAAAGAAAAAACAAAATAAAGCAAAAAAGAAACTGCCCCCATATAAAGCTAATTAATTGTGATTTATACCAAGAAGAACTTGCTTCAAGGTCCATGCCAGTTCACAATCTTACCGGGAAAGATTAAAGACTCTTGAAAATACCACTAGGATGTGTTATCTAAAGGCATATTTGGTAGCCAACACACATGCTAACTTCCAAAAAGGGACTCTACACAACCTTACACCCTAATTTTAATTTTGTGGGAATTTTAATTGTTGATGTTTTGAGACAGGGTCTCATACCTAGCCTTACACTCTTGATCTTCTTGCACTTGCCTCCCAAGTACTGCAGGGATGTGCCATGCCACCACAACCTGCTTTGTAGTTTTGTTTTCTTTGAGAATGACTTGTGTCTGGAAATATTAAAAGTATGATAGACAAAGAAAACCATCCAGTTTAACTTTATCTTTGTATTCCTTTGTGTCATCCTCTTTTTCCTGTGAAAAAGCCTTGAGAGTTTTGAAATTTTTAAATATTTATTTATTTTATGTGTATGAGTATTTTTCCTGTATGTAAGACCAAATACAACCTGGTGCCTTCAGAGGTCAGAAGAGGGCATCAGATCCCCTGCAACTGGCGTTAGAGATGATTGAGTCATCATGTAAATGATGGGAACTGAACCCAGGTCTTCTACAAGAGCAGCCAGTGCTCATCTCTCCAGCACCCTACACACACACACACACACACACACTTTTTTTTGCATAAGGTTTTCCTATTTATAGCCCAGTAGGCAGCAATATGCCTCTGTTATTCTTTGAGCTCAGCATCTTGTCTTTCAAAAGGCTGCTTGTCACCTCTCTGTTTCTTTGTAACAATACAAATGCCTAGGAAGATATTCTTTGTATTTTATACAGACTCAGAATGGGGTTCCTCTGGTACCACCAGATCATTTCTCATGGTAAACCTTGTCTTTTGTCTTTATCCCACATGGTCTTCTACCTCTCTGAGCCCTTCTTAGAAATGCTGAGACATGACTGGAGCTTCTAGTTATATTCCAGTAGGTGAGTTTATACAAAAAATGGGCATGAAGACACTTGCTCCTTGCCTCCTTAGGATCTCCATTGGGCATCCTTTTGTTCATCAGGATTTTTTCACATTAAAGCCATCTTCTCCGTTTTCCCTTTGTCCCAGTGCTAGGGATTGAACCTAGGGCCTGTGTACACGAAGCGAACACTCTGCCACTGAGCTACTCTGTCAGACCCTGCTCCATTGAGCCCACTAGGTTACCTGAAACAGGGTGCTAGGACTGAGAATTGGCAGATAAAAGAAACAGAGACAGAAACAATAGAGTCAGAAAGGCTGCCGGCTCAATACCCAACAGCCCCAAGTTTAATTTAGAACCTGCTTATATACAGACTAGAGGCAAAAAGCAGAACAAAGCATAGTCAGTTAAGCAGCCCCCTTTCCTGTCCTTGAATCATGTGGAGCCGGCAGGCTTGCTGTCTATCACATGAGTCCTGCTAGCTGCAAGCAGCTTCTTTATATATCTGTGTGTGCCTTCAGCTGACATCAGAAGCTTGTTAGTTAGATAATATGCTCTTTTCCATGGGCTTAATCTGAACATTCTCATAGCTCTCAAGAAGACTGGAGCAAGCAAGCTTAAACTCTTAATTCTTATAAGTCAGAATATAAGATGGACACTGAGTCAAATGTGGGTCACAACGCTACATCCCCAGTATTTGTTGTTCCCTTCTTTGAAATAAATTTTTATGTAGCTTAGTCTGATCTGGAACATGGAATTTTCCCCTGTGCCTCCTGAGAAGTTAGACTTTCAGGTATCTACCACCATGGCTGGCACCAGAATAACCCTTCTAAGAGGAGGGTATTGTACAAAATTCCAGCAACCCTTCCCCCCAGTAAACCTCTATTTTAGATATGTCTATCTTCAACTAGTCATAACTTTCTTTTTACCTTTTTTGGTCATCTTTTATTTTTCTAACTACTTTTTGTTATGCAAAATATTTTGTTTTTACTATATTTACCTTACCTTACAATAATGTCTCTTTGACTTGGAAATCATCTTGATATAAAGTCACTGGGCGTGGGTGGCGCATGCCGTTAGTCCCAGCACTCAGGAGGCAGAGGCAGGCGGATCTCTGTGAGTTTGAGACCAGCTCAGTCTACAAGAGCTAGTTGCAGGACAGCCTCCAAAGCCACAGAGAAACCCTGTCTCGAAAAAGAAAATGTTTTTTTTTAAAAAAAAATCATCTTGATATAAAGTCTTATTTAAAGTAGAGTGTAGTGGTGCTTGACCATCATTCTGACCACGCTGAAGGCGAAGGCAAAAGCTTTCAAGTTTAAGGCCAACAGTCACTTGCTATATCATTCCAGTCTCTGCCTCTGTGGTTATCTTCCCTTTGTCTCTTTTGTTTGTTTGTTTGTTTGTTTGTTTGTTTGTTTTCGAGACAAAGTTTCTCTATGTAGCTTTGGAGCCTGTCCTGGAACTCACTCTGGAGACCAGGCTGGCCTTGAACTCACAGAGATCCCCCTACCCTTGCCTTCTGAGTGCTGGGATTAAAGGCATGTGTGACCAATGCCCTGCATGTTTGTCTCTTAAAGGATACTTAGCACAACAGGTTAAGGTTGTGTCTTACTTTTGACTTACATCTGCAATGACCATGTTTCCAAATATATCATTCAGATGCACCAAGGGTTAGGATTTCACATGTCAGAAATACAGCTCAACCCACAGCAGACAATGACAGCTTTCCTTCCGTTCTTCCCTCTCACCAGATGTCCTTCACAGACCCGTCCCATGGCCCTCGTGTCTGCTGATTCCCGAATTGCAGAGCTTCTCACAGAGCTGCATCAGCTGATCAAGCAAACCCAGGTAAGCTTGAAGTGGAGCATGGGCTGTGGCGGTAAGCTGTATGGAGGTGGGGTTATTTTTGTTCAGAGATACCTTCATGAGCTGAGGTATTGTAAAGATAGGAGGAGGGAGTCTTGTATCTGACTGCCATTCCTGTTGGGTTTTCTGTCAAGTATGAGATTTCAGGGTTCTTTTTGTTTAACAGCTGTACGAAAGGCATCTCAAATACAACACAAGGTTCTTAATGAAAGTGTATAATTTAGTGATTTTTAGGAATTTAGTTGTACAACTGTCACCATGATCAGTTTTAGACCCATACCCATTAGCCATCACTCTTCTTCCATCCCCAAACTCCAGGTTAACACAGATATTCTTACTAGGCAAGACACTCAAAAGATTTAACTTCCAGCTTGGTGTTGGGAGGCAGAGGCAGGTGGATTTCTGTGAGTTCGAGGCCAGCCTGGTCTCCAGAGCAAGTGCCAGGACTGGCTCCAAAGCTACAGAGAGAAACCCTGTCTCGAAAAAACAAAAACAAAAACAAGAACAAAAACAAACAAACAAAAGATTTAACTTCCAGGATCTACTCAAAGGATAAAGCACTTTGAAATTAGTGGGGTTTAGATAACCCAGCCTGCTGAGTTAACCCTGTTAATCCCCTGCTGCCCAGATTACTACCCTGGCCTGTGGCTGCCTATTTCTGGGCTGCAGCTCAGTTGAAAACAAACCCAGTCACCTTGCCTCAGTCCTTGGCACTACATACTAAAGTCTACCACCTTCCCTTGAGACAGACGCAGGTGGTGTTTAGAATAATTCTTATTGGTATTGACATTGCTTCAGGATGTAGCTTAGGTTTCTCTGTTACTGGTCCAGGTGTAGTCATGATGCATCACTGTATTACAGGTACCCTGGAGGTCCACAAGAGTACCATAAGTGTACCTATGGGCTATAGCATTGAGGGTGGAAGGCCTTTGTCTTTTGCCTTCTCTGGCCTCTGTCTGTTCAAAATAGCTCTGCTCTGTTGGGTCAGTGTTTAAGGCCTTTCTTTCCCCATGATGGATGGTTTTAGCATTTTTGCTGGTCCTGCCTGACTCTAGAGGCCCTCACTATTTCTAGATTGACTTCCATTGGCCTTTTTCCTGTAAGAGAACTCACGTTGATCTTCTTATTCTAATTAACAAATACTTTCCCTCTGAATGCAGCTCCTCATTCATCATGAATTTGTCTTGTCCCACAAGGCATAGGCATCACCAAAGCCCTCTCTGTCTGTGGGTCAGTGTTTACTCTGCCACTCATGTTGCAGATGTATACTGATAGCATAGGAATAGTAAAGTGTCAAACCAGAACAAGTACAGTGCCTCATTCTAGGACTAAAAGGTGATAGTCACATGTATGTTTATTTGTCCTGCATGTAGTACCAAGGAATTGAATCTGCCAGGTGATGCCTCTACTTTTTTTTCCAGACTAATTTTATTTTATGATTATGGGTGAGTGCCTACATGTATGTTTGTTCACTACATGCATACTTGGTGCCTCTAGAGGCCAGAAGGGGTTGTCAGACCCCCTGAAGCTCTAGTTATAGACAGTTGTGAGCTGCCACATGGGTGCTAGGACTAGAACCTGGGTCCGCTGGAATAGCAGCCAATGGTCTAAATCTCATTTCCTCCTATATATTAAAATAGCTTTTCTTTCATTCACAAATAAAGCATGATATGTGTTTGTGCCTGTAGCATGCCGTGTGGCATGTTGAGCATGCCATTGCTCTGTTTTGTCCATTATTACCGTTCCAAGCATTTGCTCATTGAAGTGTGTGTGTGTGTGTGTGTGTTGTTTTGCTTTTTTGAGGCAGGGTCTCTCTATGTAGCTCTGGTTGACCTGGAACTTGCTATGTAAATCAGGGTGGCCAAGAACTCTTAGAGACCTATCTGCCTCCTGAGTGTTGGTATTAAAGGTGTGTGCCACCACGTCTGGCTTATTGATATTTATAGTCAGTTACACACTGGTGGTTCTGCTGGACCACATGGTCTAGTGAACCAGTAGGGAGCAATTCCCAGGAATTCCTCTCTGGGACATACTAGTTGGTATACCCTGAAAAATAATTGTAAAATACTAGCGAATATTTGCTTAATGAAAGATCCCAGTGGGTTACATATATGCTTCATTCCAACTGTGTGACAAACTCCAGAAAGGAGAAACTAGAGAAAGTAAAAGTAAAATGATGTCATTGGCAGAGCCTTGGGATAGTTGGGATGGATGCAAGAGTTAGAGGAGCAGGGAGGATGTCTGGGGAGGTAGGACTCTTGTGTATGATACTGTAATGATAGGTATGTAACCGAAGCGTCTGTCAAAACCCACAGGACAGAATTACACAGAGGAGGTCTTCATGTAAACAGGGAGCTTTTGTTAGGGTAAATGGTCTACTTCATGGTCTCTTGACCTTATCTTTCTAGGAAGAACGCTCGAGGAGTGAGCACAACTTGGTGAACATCCAGAAAACCCACGAGCGAATGCAGACTGAGAACAAGAGTGAGTACCTGAGGGCAGAAGAGAAAGGAAGTGGGAATGGCTGAGGCCAGGAGCATGGCCTTACTGTGTCTTCAAAGGGAGTTTTGCTTGTATCTGCATATCCCAAAGTTGCTCTTTAGGGTCATTGTTCCTTTGTCTGAATGACTTAAAGTGACAGGACTAAAGACAGTTGGCCTTGCACTAAAGGACCTCAGAGTCTCTCAGCTCGGACTGGAAAGGCAGCCTTGAAGCAGGAAAACTCACCCTTACCTTAGAGCTCATAGGCATGGGGCTTTTCGGGAGCAGAGTTCCCCCATGGCCTCTGCATATGCCCCAAGGCAGGTCACCCCCTGTGCCTGGGGCTTTCTAACTCAGAATAGCTTTGGACAGTACTTGCTTCTCCTTGGTAATGATGTGGACAGGAGGCAGGTTAGAAAGCAATTTTTAAGAATGGTGGTGGCGTCTTTACCATATGGAAATGTGGCCCTGTTGAACAGGGAACACTTTTTTTTTAATGTATGTTGGGATATGTGTATGCACATGTGTATGTGTGCAAAGGCCAACCTCATGTTTTGTTTCTCACCATTCATTCGCTGGATAACCCTGACTGTCCTAGAACTCTGTGTGGGCCAGGCTGGCTTTCAGTTTATAGATATCCACCTGCCTCTGCAAGTGCCGAGATTAAAGCAAATGCTACACATCTGGGATGCCTGGCTTTTTTTTTTTTTTACTTAGGTTCTGGTGATAGAGCTTGGTTCCTGGTACTTTCAAGGCAAGTATTTTACAGACAGAATCATCTTACTAACTTCCTGGGAGCATGTTTGAAGTGATAAAGCTCAGACCTTGACCTCTGAGCCTCTTCAAGCTGATTCTGATGTCCTGGAATCAGGGTTGCATGCTGCCACCTCCTCTTGCTCATGCCTCCTCATGCTTGTGTTTATAGTTTCTCCTTATTACCGGACAAAGTTGCGTGGCCTCTACACAACCGCCAAGGCTGATGCGGAGGCTGAGTGCAAGTGAGTAATGCCCACAGGGCTGTTGCTGCTCTGTTCCCTGACGTCTGGTGCTGGACCACATATTCCCGAGGCCACAGCCCCAGCTGCCTTCTGTCTGTGAAGAGGGTCCTCCTACTCTGCCTCTCCCATTGCTTGAACCTTCCCAAGCTCTTCCTTCTTTATCCATTCCTCTCCTGTATCTTATTGCCTTGTAGATGACAGTAAAGCAGTGTTGTGTCCCTGCATACCATTTCCTAGTCACATGACCTGGTAGTCAATTCACTTGAAACCCCGTTGCTTTGTCATTAAAATCAGGGTAATAACTCCCTGCTGGATTGTGAGCATACAGTGGGATTATGTGGAGAGAATGACAGATTCTATCAACTGTTCTGACCCTCCCCTGCCATGGGAATATGCCGACTATTGCAGCCTGTAATGGTAACAAGGACCACTACCTGGCACTACCTGGTACCATTCCAAGTACTTTCTTAATTTTTTTATTTTTGAAACAGAGTCCCATAATGTAGCTCTTATTGTTCTGGAATTCACTATGTAGACCAGGCTGGCCTCCAACTCACAGAGATTGTCCTGCCTTTGCCTCCCTAGACATGTTCCACTATACCTGGCCCAAATACTTTGTGTTTATTTACTTCACTTGATCCTCAAAGCATTCCTTTGATGTAGTTTTTAGTATTGTCCCCATTTACTGTTAAGGAAACTGACTCATAGAGGGATAATAAAATCTGCCAAAACTCATACAACTAGTAAACAGGGGAAGTCTGGTTTCTCAGGCAGAAGTCCACAGTTAGTGCTCTGCTAGATGCTGAACAGGGTCTTTCTACAGCTCTACTTTTTTTTTTTTTTTTTGAGACAGGGTTTTTCTGTGGCTTTGGAGGCTGTCCTGGAACTGGCTTTGTAGACCAGCCTGCCTCAAACTCACAGTGATCCCCCTGCCTCTGCCTTCCAAGTGCTGGGACTAAAGGCGTGCGCCACCACCGCCTGGCAGCTCTACTTATTTTAAATGAACACATGTCACGGGGTCTGACAGAAGTTACAATTAGTGTGTCATTATGTGTAGCCAATTCTCTTCACTTTTTAATGCAAGTTATAAGCAGAAAATTAATCTTAAGCCTTCCTAATAAATCTTGGTCTGCTGTTTTTAATAATGGCTGCTTGTTGAGGGTCCCTAAGGATGGAAGCTGTGGGATACGGACAAGAGTAGCCTAAATGGTACTCACAAGGACCCTGATTACCACAGCCCTCACTCCAGAGGCCTTGGGAGCCAATGAAGCCTTAAAGTTGCAATAAAAAAGAGTTGGAAGAGGATCAAAGCCAGTTGGAGATCACCCCACAGTGGAGATGGAGATGAGTGGAACATAGTAGAAAGCAAAACCCAGTTCAAGAACAGCAGTGTTTGAGATCTATGTAGGGAACTAGTTGGCAGAAGGGAGGTTCAAGATGGCAGAGTTTCTAGTTGGATGAAGGGGTCTGGCATGGCTCCCCATGTGAGGCTGGGGCACAGAACAGAAGAATAGGCTCTACTCCTGGGGAAGAAACAAAATGAATTCTTAGGAATGCCTAAGCCCTTCCCACTCACCTGGGCTAGAGTAGCTTGCATAAGTCAGTGCTGCATGTGTTTGGTTTTCTGGGTTTTATGTTGTTTTTGGTTTGTTTTTTTTTTCTTTTTTTCTTTTGTAGTACAGAGGATGGGACCCAGTGCCTTGTGTATAGTAGGCAAGCTCCGTACCACTGAGTTATGCCCCCAGATCTTCATTTGAAAGTAAACAGTAAACTGCCCTTTCTGTCCTAACTGCTGGCAGGGTGAAGACTCTTGTATGGAATGCCTCTGGCATGTCTTACCCAGCATTCAACACTTAGAAGCCTGTTTGGTAAACATAGGCCTGCATTGAAATCCTTTTGCTAATTCAAATTTTTGTTACCCTATAAACACCAACCAGACCTTCCCAACCCAGCAGTTAAGAGAGAGAAAGCAAGCAAGCGAGATGAAGCTACTCCATCTAGGTCAGACAAACCCAACCCACTGGGTCTTACTGAATTCATCTGGGTGATAAGTAATAAACACCATAGTGTTTGTAAATTAGGATATCAGTTCAGAGAGCTTATTCATATTTCGTCATGAAAGAGGCCCTCCCTGTTCTAGTTCAGATCTCCATTGGTGTCCAGTCTTCTTTGATCTGATCAGTTTTCAATCTCTCTTAGCCATTATAGGTTAGTTATTCTGTAGCATGTCCCTCCCATGGGTGTATTTAGTGCTTCCTGGCTTCTAGATTCCAGTTTGACACTTCAGGCCTTGGTAACACAGAAGTAGCCTTCTATTAGAAGGCCAGATACTATGTGTCATTACTTGATGTGGGATCTCCCAGGTTTCTGTTTTCTGCGTATAATGAGCAAGTGTCTTGTGGGGAGATGCTTTGTGACTGTTTGAATGTCCCATTTCATGTCACCAATTAGTTTGAGTATCACTTTGTTTTGTTTTGTTTTCCTGAAGCGCATGGGGCTGAGTTCTTGGTGATTTTTCCAGCTGAGTTCTTGATGGTTTTTGTTGTTGCTGTTTCTTTTGATGTCATGTAAACTGCAACTTTGAATGTAGGACATAAAACTACGTCCTCTAAATAGGCCCAACAGCAATATCAGCCTTTCCACACTATCTTTGGCCTCCTGACTGTCATTCCTTGTCTGCTTTCTGGGTGCCTCACTGTCTTGAGTCTTAGCACTCCCTTGCTAAGGGTTTGCTGTGGAAACAGAATAAAATGACCCACAGTGGCACTGTTCCTGCTGATTAAGGTTGAAGCTTTTCTGGGAGACTTGCAGAACCTGTGTAGTGATATCCACTGCTGGCCTGCCTGCCAGCCTGAAACCCCTCTGTAAATTTGACTTTTGGAGGTTCTGGCTGCAGGACTTCACAGGACTGGGGAAGTCTTACAGGGGATACTCTGAGCTTGCCTGGTCTCTCTAGGCCCCTGGGGTTCTGCTTCTCCCTTTGCTACCTGTAACAGCCCCGGAGCTTCCCTGTTATTTACTTCTTACTGTAGTAAAAACTCCCAGAGGAAAGCAGCTTAAGGGAAGAGCGGTTTATTTTGGCTCCATGCTTTGAGAAGGTTGTCTGTTATGAAAGGGAAGGCATAGCAGCAGCAGCAGCAGCAGCAGCAGCACAAGGCTGCTGTTTACATTGCATTGTACTGAGGAAGTGGAGAGCTCAGGTCAGAACACATAAGACCTGCCTCTCACCAGCCCTTCCTTTAGCAAGGCCCCACCTCCTAAAAGATCCACAACTCTGCAAAAAGCTCCACCAACTAAGGACCACCTGCTCAAGCACATGAATCTATTAGAGACGTGCCAGGCATACTCAGATCTGAACTTCCATTCCTGTCATCTCAGGATGGGGTCAGAGCTTTGGCAGGGTTTCTACAGGACAGGGCAAAGCAGTACCAGTGACCTCTCAGTGCACCTACTTTCTCAAGGGGTTGTCCTGCCACTTGCTACCATATTGCCATTTATGCTTTTACAGCTGAAAAACCGGGCTGAGGATGTCACTTAGAGCAGTTGCCTAGCTTTCAGGTGACCCTTGGTTCCATCCTGAGCACTGAAAAATCATTGGTTAGTTAATATTCTGAGATCTGTCATCAATGAATCCCACTATGAATGTCATAGCAATGACACAAACTTAGATGCATTGACACTCACTGTAGCCTCTTATACAATAAAAACACTCCTTGAACATGAAATTCATAATGTAGCTACAATGTATTTTGTCAAAAGTATAATTTAGTAAGTTTTGTGGGGTTTTTGGCTTGTTTTTTTTTTTTGGGGGGGGTGTTTCAAGACAGGGTTTCTCTGTGGCTTTGAAGGCTATCCTGGAACTAGCTCTTATAAACCAGGCTGGTCTCCAACTCACAGAGATCCGCCTGCCTCTGCCTCCCGAGTGCTGGGACTAAAGGTGTGTGACACCACTGCCCAGCTTGTTGTTTTGGTTTTTTTGTTGTTGTTGTTTTGTTTTGAGACAGAGTTTCTCTGTGTAGACTTGACTGTCCTGGAACTTGCTCTGTAAACCAATCTGGCCTCAAACTCAGAGATAAACCTGCCTCTGCCCTCCAAGTGCTGTTATTGAAGGCATGCACCACCACTACCCAGCTAAATTTTATTAATTAATTTATTTATGTATTTATGCATTTTATGTATATGTGTGCTCTATCTGTTTATATGCCTGCATGCCAGGAGAGGGCATCAGATCCCATTCTAGGTGGTTGTAAGCCACCATGTGGGTGCTGGGAACTGAACTCAGGACCCTAAGAAGAGTAGCCAGTTCTCTTAACTGCTGAGCCATCTGTCCAGCCTTAGTAAACTTCTAAATCAGTGGCATGGTCATTACTATAATCAAGTGTGATTGAGTGTATATGATTGTATATGCCCTGCATATATGTGACTGTCAGTGCAGAGAATATGATATGTTTCACTGTGACATTAAGCTGGCAGTGGTGCCATGAGGCAGTAAAATCCTGTGGGGCCACTGTCATAGGATTGTGGCATAGAAAGACCTGTTAACTGAGATATCAGGGGTAGTGCCTATTTCTATTTAGGGGCTATAGTTTCATTTATTTTTTTCATTGTTTTTATTACTATCTTGTGTATACATGTGGTATATATATGTTTATGAAGTATGTACCTATATTTGTGTAGGTCCTCAGGCATGTGAGTGTGCATGCCCATGGGTGAGAATGCATGTATAAGGCAGTGGTTGATACTGGATGTCTTCCTTGATTATTGTCCACCTTAGTTTTTGAGACGGGGTTTCTCACTGAACCTGGAACTGATTGATTTGGCTAGGCTGTTTGGCCAGTGAACTCCAAAGACCCAGCTGTCTCCACAGTAATGCAGTGCTGGGATTGCAGGCACACACCACCATGTCTGGCTCTCAGATGGGTTTTGGGAATCTAACTCAGATGCTCAGGCTTGCACAACAGGCACTTAATTCACTGGGCCATCTCTATAGCCTCTCCTTCTTTGTTTGAAGCAAGGTCTCACTCTAGCCCAGGCAAACCCGGAGCTCTTTGTGTAGCTAAGATGGCATCAAACTCACTCCAGGACTACTACAGCCTCCTACACGGTAGGATGACAGGTGTCAGCCACCACACGCAACAGGATCTGTAGTTTTCAGCATAGACTTGGTCTGGGGAGTCCAGATCGCCAAGAAGCATACGCTGAGTGCCTCACCCAGCACTCTTTTCTCCCTTCTTTGCCTAGCATCCTCCGAAAAGCATTGGATAAGATAGCTGAGATCAAGTCTCTGCTGGAAGAGAGGCGGATAGGTGAGTGGGAGAAAATGCAGGGTATTTCTTGACCAGGCCAGGTGGGGGCTGGGGGGAAGCAGTCATAGCCTTGGCAGGGGAATATGGGACATAGGTTGGTGGGGTCACCCAACAGAGCTGTCTGAAACAGACTCAGAGGCAGAGAGTTTGCTTAGTTCTTGCCTAGACCCAGGAAATTTTGTCCCACCACTCACACTGCCCTGCTCACTCTAGCCAGGGCTGGTCATCTCTCTCCTTCCTACCGCTGCTCCCTCTGTGGCATGCTTTGGTGGCCACATGTAAGCTGGCTTAGCCCCCTACCTTGTAGGTTCCTCAGGTGCCATTGCCTTGGCTTCCTGACTTCTGTCTTGTCCCAGATGCAACTCTTTACCCCATATCACCATCATGGTACCATTTTTGTTTTTAGTTGAAGAGTGTGATGAGCCATGGCTGATGAGACCAAGGATCCACATTAGATAATTTGTGCAACTTTTGTTGAAATTACATACACTAGTAGAAAGAAGATACATTCCAGGAATTTTCATTGACCCAGCACATTTATATATCCAGCATCCTGGTCAGGAGACATAATATAACCTATATCCTGGAAACCCTCCTTTTTAGTTCCACTCCACGATGGTGGCCACTGTCCTGACATCTCACCCACTTGAGTTAGGCTGTCAGTTCCTGACCTTAAGAAGGGGTGTGGATGGTTTTGGGATCCTGGTATAAAGTGCTCCAACTCAGAGCAGTTGCTGGGGTGTGACTGGGTCAGACACCATCCACTTGGCCTCAGGGGTTCACTTGCTTCCCACAGCGGCCAAGATCGCAGGTCTCTACAATGACTCGGAGCCCCCACGGAAGACCATGCGCAGAGGCGTGCTAATGACCCTGCGGCAGCAGTCAGCCATGACCCTGCCCCTCTGGATCGGGAAGCCTGGTGACAAGTGAGGGCAGGAACTAGCCAGAGAGGGCTGGTGACAGGGAGCCAGACTAACGGGCTTTCTCTCACAGGCCCCCACCCCTCTGTGGAGCCATTCCAGCCTCAGGGGACTATGTGGCCAAACCTGGAGACAAGGTGGCTGCTAGAGTGAAGGCTGTGGATGGGGATGAGCAGTGGATCCTAGCTGAAGTAGTCAGTTACAGCCATGCTACCAACAAGTGAGTGTGTGCCTGACCTTGCATTCTCACCACTCCAGCTTCTGCAGCATGGGAGGAAAACTCCCCCCAAAGGGTGCTGGGTGGTGCTCTCTCGAGCTTCTCCATCCCCTTTTCACCCTCTCTCAGCCTTACTCTTGGATGCAAACCGCTCTTTGTCCCAGAACTGTTTCCCTTTTGTTTGCCCACAGGTATGAGGTAGATGACATTGATGAAGAAGGCAAAGAGTGAGTGTCCCGGTGGGGAGCAGTGGAGAGTCACCAAGCTTCTGGGAGAAGCCTCCTGGTCACGGCCTGTATTGTTCCCCCAGGAGACACACCCTGAGTCGGCGGCGCATCATCCCACTGCCCCAGTGGAAAGCTAACCCTGAGACAGACCCTGAGGCCTTGTTTCAGAAGGAGCAGCTGGTGCTGGCCCTATATCCCCAGACCACCTGCTTCTACCGTGCCCTGATCCACACACCCCCACAGCGGGTAAGGAGCCACATGAAAGGCCTTTGATGACACCAGAACCTTAAGGGTTGGTCCCCATCATTCTTCAGCTTGCCTGCTTGCTGCCTTCTTGTTGTCCTTCATCTCCTAAACATAGGCTTTCCCAGTAGCACCAGACCCCTTGACTTGAGAGCAGAGAAGAAAGTAGGAGAGGCAGGCAGGGAGATGCATCTGGGGCTCTGGGCAAGGAGGGGCTGCCCTGGCCTAGAAGCATCTTGACCAGCCCTTCCTGTGTGTGCTCTACAGCCTCAGGATGACTACTCAGTCCTGTTTGAAGACACTTCCTATGCAGACGGCTACTCCCCTCCTCTCAATGTGGCCCAGAGGTACGTGGTGGCTTGTAAGGAGCCCAAGAAAAAGTGAAGCTGGCTGGCTGGCTTGAGTCTGCCACTGCCGACCTCATGGGAGAAGGCAACAAACGAGTTCCTGTAATAAAATAAATACTCTTCCCTCTCACCATGTCTCCTGGGCCTCACTACTTCAGACCTCCCTGCCCTCCTCCATCAGGCACATGGGATTGGTGGCCGCAGGAGGGAGAAGGCCCAGTCAGCTCCCAGTGACATTTATTCTTTCAGGTAAAATACAGTTTATGTCTTCTGTTGTTGCATGCTTGGGTTCCTTTTCAGTGCACGGATCAATTGCTTTCCTGACACGTGTTGGTAAAACCCTCTTCATTCAGATACTACCCAAGTCCTGTTCATTCTCTGAGCTCAGATTTCCTGTAGGCATACAATATGGGTGCATCATATTCTATTCTTGAGGTCATACAACTGGATGCATCATATTTTATTCTTGAGGTCATAATGGGTTATGTCAGCTTACCTTCATTCCCAATATAGCCATATCCACTTACAGATTGCAACGGAACTTGAGGTTGCAGCCTGCCATCATTTTGGTGTAGTGGGCATCAAATTGCTCATTCTGAGCTACAGTGAAGGTGTTTTTCCAGTCCCCAGTGATACCTGAAGAGGGAGAGAGACTGTGTAGAGTCCCAGCTACAGGACCCATGTGACTTCAGGTTTTGTTGGTTGCATCCAACCTCCCTTCCCCAAATCCTCCAAATACCCATCCAAGCTACTACCTACCTTTCCTCATGAAGGGAGAAATATCATGGTCCATGACTGTAGTGGGGATGGTTGTGTAGTTAGCCATGGGGTTCTCCTTCATCTTCTTGAAGGATGTATGCTCAACAATGATATCCACAGTCTCCTCAGGCAGAGAGCGTCCCAAAAACTCTAGTACCTTCTTGATCTCCCTTTTGGGATTCTGGAGCATAGAGATAATTTTGGTACTCCTTGGGATAAGGTTGGGGGATCACCCACAGGGAGCGGGCCACTTCTACCAAGAAATTTTCAGACCTGATGCCCTGACTCTTGAGTCTCTTACCCTGATGCAAAATAGGTAGTTTCCTACCCTGCCATCTTGGCATGATCCCAGTGGGTTCATTTTGGCAGAGGACAGGGACAGACTTTGATCTCTGGTACCCATACTTGGTACCTCTGGAGCAGGGAGAAGCAAGAGCAGCAAGCCACCAGATCAATAATGGCACATGACTGACACTGCATCAAGATAAGAGCTGTGCAATGTCCTCTGCTGAGGTCCTGAGCCAGGAGGTAATGGGAGGTACTGGTCTGGGGTGGGGCTGGGATAGGGATGGGGCTCGGCCAGGTGAGTGAGGTTCCTGCCTGTGAGACACAGAAGGAAGTGGTAGCAGGCAGTCTCACCTCCTTCATGTCTTCATAGAAGAGATAGAGAACAGGGTGAGTTTGTGTCAGTTCCCACCACTCCTTCACGTGCTGGTACCACGACCCATAGGACACTGGGGAAGAGGGCAGGGTACAGACACAGTCCTTGTTAGCACCAGCTTGTGCCCCTCAGCTCCAGCCCCCTCCTTGGTACAGACTCAGATTCACCTTTCCCAGCCATGAAGTTCTCCAGGAAGATATCCCAGGTATTTGGATCAGGGTGCACCTTGGCCATGTTGTAGAAGTTATAATAGGAGACAGCCACATCCTTTGGATTTCGGGCAACGTAGATCACCTGCAGGGGCAAACAATCCCTAGTTCTGGTTCCTCCTGTTTTCCTGTCACCACAGGACCCAGTGAGGTGTCATACCTTCTAGCACTTGAGAACTCTCAGCACTTCTTTTAGGGATGGCAGAAGAGAAAACAGGACTAGAAGTTGACTTGTTGAGATTTCGTGGTAGGGTACCACTGACCTGAGATTACACCTTTGATGCCCAAGTCCTGGCTATTCCATAATCTATATTTTATCAGACTCCTTTATTGTCAACACATCCACATGGTAGGTCAGAGTTCCACCATCCCCTTCATCCATGTCCTGTGAGCACCTGGACTCTGCATCTCTAGTTTACACTGAAGAATTCCGTTTTCCTTGTTATCTGAGTCCTTCCAGAGTGACAGCCAGAGATCCTCCATACAAGATGAAACAGGGCTTGAGTAGCCCCATAATTCCCAGCAGAATAAATCAAAGCTATGGTGACCCCAGGGACCCTTGCACCCTCTCACTTTACCCACCTCCCTGTTTCCCTTTCTTTTTTTTTTTTTTTCCTGCGATTTTTAAACAGGGTCAGATGCAGCTCAGACTACTAGTCTTTAACTTGCAGTGTAGCAAAGGCTATCCCTAAACTCCTGATCCTTCGGCCTCTACTTCCCGAATGCTGGAAGGTACCACGATAACTGTGGTTTTTGTTTTTGTTTATTTTTACCTTGATCTTCTGATCCAGCAGACTCTGAGGGAGCAAGGACAGAGGCAGATGTGTCTTAATTAGCCGTGGGTCTGGTGTCTCTTCCAAAGATTCAAGACCTACAGTTGAGCAGAGAACTTAGTTAAGCTGGGGCCTAGTCCTACCTCTCTCCACTTGTGTCTAACATCCTGGTGCTCATACCCGAGGGAACTCCTGGGCATCGAAACTCAAGGAAGGGCACCCGGGCATAGATGGGGGCCCGGCGACAATTTTCTGGCTTGCCACCCTGGTAGATCATGTCCAGGATCTCACTAATCCAGGTAGTACCTGAAAAGCAGGGAACAAGAAGTAAGCATGACCCAGAGTCTGGACCTGCTTGCTACAATGAGATCTGTATGATGTTATGGGGACCCCTTTGCTTACCAGACTTTGGGTATGTGCTGATAAGCAAGTCATCAGGATGGGGTGTAAAATTCTGCAATGGCTCAAGAGCCTCTGCAAAGTATTTGATGAGTGGGATGCCCTTCACATGCACCAGTGGTGGACGGGAAATATCCTTAATCAACTCCATGTTGCTGCATTGAGAACAGAGTAAAACTCACTTTTTTTTTCTCACAAGTTCACAATACTGTGCTGAATTCTTGCTTTAAGATTGAGATCCTGGCCAGGCGGTGGTGGGGTATGCCTTTAATTCCTGCACTCAGGAGGCAGAGTCAGGCGGATCTCTGTGAGTTTGAGGCCAGCCTGGTCTACAGAGTGAGTTCCAGAACAGGCTCCAAAGCTACACAGAGAAACCCGGTCCCGAAAAAACAAACAAAAAAAATTGGGATCCTGAGGCTCTGACAGTTTACCCAGGTGGCAGGTAGACGTGGGATCAAAGGCAAGTCTAACTCCAGCAAAAGTTACTACTTTGGCTACATCGATGCTTACCTGCAGAACTTTCCATGTCCCTGGTGCCCAAGCATAGTCCTGATATTTAAGCACTCTGAAGTAGAACCAATACAGTGTTTGGCATTTTGGGGTAGATACCAGCATGTACTCAGGTGGATGGCCAGCTATGGCACATGGGTGCATCTCCCCACTTTTCCTCCTTGGGCTTCCTATTACCTTCAGAAATACCCCAAACTATCAAAACCTCTGAGACAAGCATAACCAATTTAGCTACTAAGCTTGTTGCCTGTTGCCAGGGAGAGATTTTCTACTAAAAAGGATTCTAAAACCAGCCAGGGAAGAGAGGGGGAACTCAGACAAGCTACAGGTGCTCTTCTGAGGTGGGGTTTGCACAGGGAAAGAGCAGAGAGGTTAGAGGCCTAGTCAGGGGTCAAATAGACTAATCAAGATAGAAGAACTAGCTGGCCTTGAATATTGGAACTTGTAGCTGGGCAGGACAATGGTGGCCACCCTACTGTGCCACTCACCTGATTCTGAGTTCTGAGCGTCTCCTCCTCGGTGCACAGTGGTAGGATCTTTGTGTGGGAATGTAGGAAATGCAGAATTGGAATTTGAGCTGAATGAAGATTTGTAGGTCCCAAGTGGGAGGGAGTGGGAACAATGCTAGGACTGGCTGTTCTAAAAAAAAAAAAAAAAAAAAAAAAAAAGGGGGGGGGGGGGGGGGGGGGACTATGGACTGTGGATTTAACCTATAAAAAAACAAGGGGGAAAAAACAGAAGGACAGAAGGAAGGTAGTTTTATTTTTACACTGTTTGTGGTTCCTTCCTCCTTTCTTACCTAAACTTGGGGGTAGATCATAGACAGTTAACACAGTCTAGCAAAGGGAAGACAGTGGCCAGATGGGGACAGAGCTACTCAACATTCCTGCTGGCTCCAAGCCAACCTTGAGGACACCCTGGGTTTAGATCAGAGCACCCACAGCAATACTGGAAATTCTGGCTGACCTCAGAGAAAATCCAGAATGGTGAGAGGGACCAAGGTCAGCGAACTGGAGGTACAGTAGAGTAGGGAAGGCTGTTCAAGGGAAAGACCTGGAGTCTAAAGGCCCTGGAAGGTGCCCCTGCCTCATGGCTGCTGGGCTACCTCATCCAGTGCCACACATGACGGGTAAACAGTCCCTAGAGGACTTTCACCCAACTCTGGACTTGGCAAGCAGCCCTGCAAAGACGGGAGATGCCTGCAGCTGAGTCATAAGGCCTTAGGTAGGAGAAGAATCCCACCCTCTTGATCTTTGTCTTCTGTTGGAGTGAAGATGCAGTGTGAAACTGCACTGCGTCTGTAGACCCTTACAGAGTTGTCATCTCAGGAGAGCTGCAGAAAGGCAGGTGACAGGACACTCCAGGAATGACTTAGGAATTTCCTTTTCTCTAGGGGAAAGTTTGTTTGAAACTGTCTAAAAACTGATGACATGTCTGCTCTGAGGTATGATTGGAGATATGAGGGAGAGTACAGCCAGAGAGAAAGAAGTAGACTGGGCTTGGCCATGAGGGTTGGGGGTTGGGTAGCAAGGGATGAAGACAGAAGAGGAAAGAGAGGAAAGAGAGAACATGCCCACAGCAGAAATAGCAGCGTTGTGAGGACAACGAGAAGCTGAGGGGAAGCTTCTGAGCTTGGCGAGTTTAGGGTAGGGGTTAGGGTGAGAAGAGTTGGGATGCTAGCAGGGACTCTGAAATGTGTAATGGGAACTTATGGTACTGAGGGAGCAGGAGGCCAGCATGCTCTAATAGGTGCCACAGGTAGCCGTTTGTCCCTTCTGCCAGTGATAAGGAAATGGCTGCTTTGGTAGAGGGGAACTGCTTTACAGGTTCCTGAGGAATTCTGGCTTTTGACTAGAATTTAGACCTGACAGAGACAAGGTCTCACACCGTAAGCTGAACAGGAATTCACAATGTAATCCAGGGTGGCCTTGGACTTGTGGCAATTCTCCTGCTCCAGCTCCCAAGTGCTAGGATTACAGGTATGAACCACCACACCCAGTCTCATCAGGAAAGCTCTATGCTTGGAATGAAGATGGATCGCTGAAGGAGCTCTGGCAACACAAGCTTCCCAGAAGACTATAAACTCAATTGTTTTTCTTGTGGGTAGGCATTTGGATCCATTGTCAGGCCTTAGAGGCATGGGATCCACTAACAGGAACCTGTAAGGGGGCGGGGGGGGGGGCACTAACAAAATTTGGCACCTAAAAAGGAGAATCCCCTCTCAGAACTTGGCATCTATGTAGAGAGGATCCCGTCTCAGAACTTGGCGCCTGTGGAGAAGTTACTAACAGAGCATAGCATCTGTGAAGGGTGGTGTCTAGTTGCAACTCCATACTTTTGACTGGCCTTTCAGCCTTCTGGGCCCTGACCATCTATGCCCTGTTTCAGCTTGAAGCAGCTATAGAAAGGATGTTTGCAAACATGTGGCTGACACAGCCACTTTTCATTGTCCCTGAAAGAATAAGGACGGAGAGCAGTCACGTAGGAGGACAAAAAGGCGTGTACCACCAACACCCGGCTAGGATGTCTGCTCTTAAGGCAGAAAGCCTTGGGGAGCCTGGACTCCTGAGGCAGAGAGGGACTGGAAAGGCTGGCAAAAACTTCTGTTGTATTCTTGAAATCCTGGAAATTAGAGTACATGATCCAAAAGGGCCTGAGGCTCAGAGGAACCTTAGCCCAGAGTAGTCATTAATTTACTGACAATTACCACAAAGAGACTGACAATAGACAACACAACAAATAAACAGAATTGATGAGACATACAGAAGGAAGAACGCTGCACGCAGGGACCATGAATCCCAAACCAATCCCCAAGGGCCATAGATGAACAACCCAACAGCCAGAAAAGGGGTTGAAGTGTCCCAGGGCCCCTCTGCCTACTCTTATTGAGCCTACCTTTTTCAGGACACCAGAAACCAGAGAAAGGTTACCAGTTGGCCAAAACCAATAGAACAAAGTTTGCCAGACTGGAGTGTACCCCCCCCCCAGAGCCAGGATTATGTGAGGTCCCAGGTTTCTGCAACAAAGATGTTGGGGCCTGGGCTGCACAGTGATGGGGGACAGACCACCAAAGTTTATTAAACCAGAAGCAAGCTTTATTCCAGGAAAGAAAAAAATCTCTGCCGTGCTCAGAAGCTTACAGCTATAGCTGTGACCACAGCCAGAGTTCGGGCTTCTGAGACTGGCAATGGGGGCTGGTTTGGGGCCTCCTCTTACCGTAAAATCCAGCACCAGATGTGAGTCAAAGAGCTTTCACAACTTTGAGGTCAGGCTTAAAGTCACATTATATTGTAAGTTTTACAACTTTTATTTATAGGATGTTAACTTAGGATGTTTGTGAAAGCCTGTGGCTGACACAGCCATTTTTCACTGTCCCTAAAAGAATTCAAGGCAGAGAGTAGAGTCACGTAGGGAATACAAGGCAGAGGGTCCCCTAAAGGCAGCAGTTATAAGGTGACCTTTGTCTGCTGTACCTGCCTAGCTGGGAAGCTGGGAGGTGGGAAAACATTGTTAAAACTTTACCTCTGTACACAGTGGCTGCCAGGATGTCTGCTCTTAAGGCAGAAATTGGTTGTTAAAGTTTAACAGTGACTGCCAGCTTTTTGTTTGGGCTACAATTTTATATTTCCATATTCCTGGACCCTGCATTTCTGTATTCCTATTTCTGAACACTTCAATTTCATTCACTCAATTCTTGTTTCTACCTTTACCCTATTTTTTTTATTGTATTTTGAGATAATCTCTCTATTGTGTAGTCCTGGCTGTCCTAGAACTAGATACGTAGTGCAGGTTGGTCTCAAACTCAGAGATCTCTCTACCTCTGCCTCCTGAGTGCTGGGATTAAAGCATACACCACCATGCCCACTTAACACTGTTTTTTGGCAGTTTATTTTCTGTAGTTATTAGTGGTATCATAATTGACTGCAGTAGGTTTAAAGTACTTTTTTTCCCCAGAGACAGGGTTTCTCTGTGTAGCAGCCCTGAATATCCTGGAACTTACTCTGTAGACCAGGCTAGCCTCCAATTCAGAGATGCACCTGCTTCTGCCTCCCAGGTGCTAGGATTAAAGGTGTGCACCACCACCTCCCAGCTAAAATGCATTTCTGTATCTGGTTTGACTTGCTATTGTTGGTTGGCTGGTTGTTCAACTGTTTGTTATGTTTTTTTTCTGAAGAATACTGAGGATTAAGTCCTCAGATGAAGGTCACATCCATCCCAACAGACTCACAGATCAGAACCAAGAAACATGAAAAACAAGGTGCCATGATCCCTCTAAAGGAACATAACAGCTCCACTGTCAGATCCAAGATACTGAAACTGGGGTAAAGTGCTAGAGGAAGAATTCAGAAGTTGAGTAGAGCAATGGTTGAGTGGTTAAGAGCACTTGCTTCTCTTCCAGAAGATCTGAGTTCCCGAGTCACAGCTGCTTAGGGGTTTGATGCTGCTGCTGTCTTGTGGGCACCTGCACTCACATGCAGACACACACCTATCTACACATTTATTTTTTTTTACTTGTAAAAAATAATGGCTTCAAAGAGAACAGGAGACAAAGTAAGAAAATAATTCAGGACTTGAACAAAGTTAGCAATGCGGATGCAAAACTCATAGCAAGGCGTGTTTTGGATGAAGAACATAAATGTTAGAAATAAAAAAATGGACGAATCACATTTAAAAAAAACAGTAGAAAATACTGCCAATTAACAGACCAGTGATAAAGACTTATCAGGAATGGAAGACAAGGCCAAAGGAATACTATAGTTAGCAATTAAGAGCAAAAAATACATATGCATAACCACAGCTTACAAGAACTTTGGGATAATGTCAAGAAACCAAACCTGACGGTATCCTGTTGCATATTTTTAATTCCTGAGAGGCAGAGGCAGAAGAATTACTTGAGTGATTCTATTCCAAATAAATCTTCTGAAAAATTGAATACTAGTTGAAATAAATGTACCCTACTGTTCTAAGGTGTGATTGGAATCATTGTATTCTACTGGTGGGTGGAATAAAGGAACACCGTGTCCAGCAAAGTTATCTTTTATAATGGAGGCATATACATTTTAAGAGAAGTACAAATTAAAGCAGTTAATGATCAAGTCAGCACTGCAGAAGGTACTTAGAAGGAACCCCAAACACAGAGGAGGAAGATAGTGCCAATCACAAGAGCACAGAAAAAGAATAGCATGCATAAGAGGAGCTTTTGTAGTTTACTTTCTGCTACTGGGATATAAACACCATGACCAAAAGCAACTTGGGGATGAAGGGGTTTGTTTTCCTTGCTTTCAGGTCACAGTCTATCACTGAGGGAATTCCTGGAAAGAACTCAAACAAGCAGCAGCAAAGGCAAAAAACATGGAAGAGTACTGCTAACTGGCTTGTTCACTCTGGCTCAAGCTTAGCTAGCTTTTTGTTGTTGAGGTGGGGTTATTACATCCAATAAACAAGGAGGCAGGTTTATCTAATCTTGGTAGGAACATTCTGCAAGAGGTCAGTCTGCAGGCTGTAAGCATGTGGGAGTGGACATTTTCTGCAATGTCAGCATTTGCCCTTTGGAGGAAAGCTTTGCCAGCCTGCTGAGCCTGCCTTTCCCATGAGTCCTTGATAGGCCACGCCCAGGTAAACAGCAAACTCACTCTGAT